GAAAATGTTGTAAGTACAATAGCCCAAACAATTTGCATTTTCTCTGAGTTGAGGCTATTAAACCCTGTATTCTCAAAAGGCTTAAATTAGAGATAAATGTTCAAGGCTATTGTAACTCTCATGATTTCATTTGTCAGTTCTGGTATGGCTTTTGCGCAAGAGAATATGTTGTCAAATAAATCAGCGGTTATCCGCTTTGAACCCGAAAATGGAGTATTGAACAGTGAGGCTTACTGCAAAAAGGTTTCGTTTCGCAGTTTACAGTTTCTCAACTAAATCTGTAAATTGCGAAACCATTTCATTTCGTTTCGTTTCGCACTTTGCAGTAAGCAAAAAGTGATACATTGTTTATGTAAAGTTACAATGTCAGTGAATATTTATYATGTTAAAACTTTGCTGTTAAAAATGTCTTGATTTAAAAATCAAGATAGATGTATGGAGAGAAGTTTTTACTTAAAAACGATTAACAATCAAATTTAAAATAAAGAAGCATGAAAGAAGGCCATTTCCCCCTGTTCTGCTGAAATCTACGTAGCACTCAGTTGATGTAATATATTCATAAAGATATAATACAAAACACATAATACAATAGAACGAGAAACAATGGAATACAATACATTTTATGAATACATTACATCAACTGCGTGCTACGTAGTTCACCCCATAACTGGCTTCGTAGAAATACTGATGTTGTGAATGTAAAYTTTTCTTCAGTTTTGTAAATATATATTTCAGGAAAAAGCGGAGTACAATCCGACCAGGACACGTAAAAAAAACACTTTTAGCGTTCTGCCTAAGAATACTGTGTATACATCTGTCTAGTCACGCAACACCGTGAACTAAAATCAAAATATTATCTTCAGAAAAAACGGTCTTTTCCAGTTTAGCATTAATGTATAAAACACATTAAACTCAAATAAATCCTAAAAAACTCACCTTAACCCAGTTTTCAGTTCATGATACAACGAGCTGACGAGACACCGTATGGCAGTTATGTAATCACAGGAAGCCCAATCTATAAGAGCGAGTAAATATTAAGTGCTGGGCTGCCTGTATTCCCGATTAGCATTTTCCCGTCTAAAACGAGTAAAATCTTCATGAAACAAGTTTCAATGTAAGTAACAATCTAATAAATCATAATCAAGAGAAAAGTGACCTCAAATAATTTCTCATTCGCCATTTTAAAATATGGTATAAAGTATGGTTCCGGGAAAAAAATCAATATACCTTATCTTTTTTAATTCATAATCAGTTATTTCCTGGAGTTTAATTCAAATTTTAGAAACTTGATCCCAGCTCCTTTTAGATTTGTTAAGAATGAACAGAAAGTTCAATTATATATCCTTCATTTTTGTGACGAAAGGCCTTATGGGGCACTTGTAGCAGGCATTCCTTGCGAGTCCTTGATATGTTTAAGTTGAAAAGAGAAAATCTACAGAGGAAAAAAACAACAACAGCAAAGAAAAAAGAAGAAAAGAAAAAGAAAAAAAGAAAGAAGAAAAGAAATCAGGAAACAAAAGAAAAAAAACAAGTGAAAAAGAGAAATTCAAGAAGCAGGGCTCGAACTCAGGCCTTTCACTTCAAAAGATAATGTACCCCCCCCCGGAATACATAAGAAATAATGAAAATAAAAACGCCAAAAAGATGGGACGATTCCCCCGAGACATTCTATGAAGCTGAGGCGTCGAATCGGCTTACGTTACGGTTAGAGATTTCGGCTCTTCCACGCTATCCCGAGTGAACATAAAACTTAGTCTTAACCAAAAGGCCAGGGAGTGAGGGGGTAGCCGCCCACTAGAGCATACCTTTAGCTACCCTCTTAGACCATCGTACTATGAAGACACTTATAGATATATGATACCTAATCGGGATAGTCTATTCGGCGAAGTTCTATGTTAATATATGACGTCACCAAAATCCCAAGGGTGTAGCCATCCAATCAAAGCGCAGCTCCAAAATTATCATATGCAGTACTTGCACAGCAGTGTTCCAGCAGCGAGGGGGAGGGGATGAGGGACGAGAAAGGGGGGGATCTATGCTAATATATGACGTCAGAAAAATCCTTAGGGAACAGCGAGCCAATCAGAGTTCAGCTCAGGAATTAGCAATAGCTACAGGATTTGCATAATCATTCTTCAGTGGATTTATTATTTGATTGTGGTGGGGATGGCAAATCATCACAGGAAAAGGTGTACAGTTCTTATATCAGACAGACATCACAAGTATTCGGATGAACACCACGAAAAAACATTTCTTGAAATTCTTAACGTAAGTGGTTTAAAGACAAGAAGGCGGCCGCTAGGCAGGCTAGCAGACACATGTACTAGCTGTTGCCAACAGATTTGCCGGGATTGAAATTATAGACCTCTGAAATATACTCCAATTACACTCGAACGTTCCACATTTTCGTTTAACACTGTCGTGTTAAAATCTCTTCAAGGAAAAATAATATCTCCTGTGAATGACAATAATGTCAACAACCACATCAATAACAGCAATGACAACAACAACAACATGGACAACAACTTTGAAAACAACTTYAACGGCCAGGAAAACGACCAGAGCAATCAAAGGCATGATAGTGATTTTAATGAAGTTGGCGTCTTTATGATCATAAATGTTTATAAATGGGTTAATATTAATTATCTAATAATTATTAAATGTAAATATAGTGAATGTTAGCAATCTTCGGGTTTTATTACAAAACTATAATCAGGCAAATTATAGTAAAACTACAGTTTGAATGATACAAACATTTTATCGACGCCGTTCGAGAATTTGATCATGAGTTTATAAGTCAAAAGATACAGAAAGATATCTTTGACTACAGCTAAATTAAAGCTGTAAGGAATCCGTCGTGATAAAAATCCCTTTTCCAAATCTTTCAGATGGATATGTTTACTAAAGGCAGGGACAGGGCGCCCTGCGTCAGGCCCCCATGGGAGGCGGGAATGATCAACCATCACAATAGGTTCCTTGGCCCCTGGGAATCGCCGGCTCTTGTCCATTCCCTTGCAGCGTATACAGTTAATTCAGAAAACGTTGTATACTGAAAATAGTGTCGAAGTTACTAAATCTCTTAATGGCCTGAGTCACATGCAGTCCTCGACTGCCAGTATTTTTACTTATCTGATTTAGCTATATCGCAATGAATTATTCGTGGTGGGTAACCATCGACACACGGGAAATTTGTCATGCTTTTATGGAAAAACAGTCTTAAATTGTATGAGGAAAAATGTGGATAAAAATGCGAGGGTACACGGAATAAATGGGAATATGAAACATGCACTGRTATAATTTCTTCACATCAAMATTATTATATAAAACTTTTATTGCTGTTCTTAAATCTTTTGTACAAATATATCTATAATGAAATGCACTGCATGGCTTCTTTCTCTACGTATTATCTAACTACAACGTACGGATATACATAACGTACGACGGACTAGAGAAAAAATACGTTAAAACAACTCACTTTTAAAACGATTAGTAGAAAATGAATAATCATTAAAGTAACTTTCACATAATCATAGAATAAGGACTAGTAGTATCCCTCACACTGTGAACTGTCGCGAATACAGCATTCTGTTTGGAATTGTAATCTATACGCGATAGTCCGTGTTGGCAGTTGAGAAAAGCGAAGAAAGGCATAAAAGGTTGTTGTCGTTTTTCCCCTATTTCTCATTTCAAATTTGCCAGTCCGACAGTTTGGTGAATACTGAATCAATTGGACCACTCGGTCTGAAACTGTTTCATGGAAATAGTGTTTTCACTCTGATATTGTTAATATATTAATATATRAAGTAATTTTGATTCGTTGTTTTCTTTAGTTAAAAAACCTAGTCGTTTTACATTAAAAACCTATGTACAAAAATGCAAACAAACAAATACGCAATAACTTATCAATCTTGTGTAAAAATACTATTAAAATGACAGCTTTCATTTTACAAAACGTAGAATTTCTTTATATTAGAACTGTGTAGTACTTGACTTTGTGAAGTGAGACATCGTTTGAATCATGTCCTAAGTGTTTCATCTAATTCTTTAGCTTTGGTCATACATACTGTTCTCCATTGTCTTGCACRCCGTCTTTAAGCTCCGCGATATCTTTGTARACACCACGTAAATTATTATATCGAAGTCCCCAGTTTAAAACATCATCCCAATCAAAGTCTTCACTAATACCATTGACAGGTGGTTTCTGTGCAAGTCTATTAGCAATCACTAAATCGTCCTCATTCATGTTAACAGTACTATTAGAAACAGTTCTAGAGCCTGGTTGACGCCCTGAGTGCGGTTCTACTGTAGCTAACCTTGAGAAAATCATACTCCCGTGTGAGTCTAATTCCTCGGCTCGTGTAGTCGGTCGCTCGTCGAATTCAAACTCGCTACACGTAAACGTACCGTCGGAGCTTTCGCTTGATGTATCGTCTTGCTCCATAAGACTCGATAACTTGTCGTTAACGATCGGATCTTCGTCGCTAGACGTCGATATGGCATCTAGGAAGCTGCCGGATGGAGGATTTCGTGACGATTGCTGTCTAATACGTTCTATTTCAGACTGGGAGAATGCGGGTAAGTCTTTTCGTGCCATGCTGTCCTTAAACATGCTTGGTTCGTACTGGTAACTAGCCTCACTGACACCAATACTCGCGACGTCAATATCGTAATAATCAAGCATTTCCGAGTTATCCATATCCGACCTCATGCCGCCGTCGGAAAAGTCGTGTTGTTCGTCACTGCTCGTTGTATCCATAGAGTGCGATCTTCGTTTGTGGTGTCGACCACCGTACGGYGGACGYATACGAGGKTCGGTTTTTGGAGGGCCGTGATGCCGTTTATCTAAGACTTGCCGTGCTAATGAATTGGGTGGTCGTCTATCTCGTGCTCGTGGTCGCTGTCTTGGGGTGCTACGAGGTTGRTCTCTTTCAATTGGTGTACTGTGCTGTACCAAATCTCTACGTGGATAAATCACGTGATCCAGTCGCTCACGACTTCCATTTTTCATTGGGTAATCATTYTTGATGACAAACTCRCCGACGTCCGATTCTGAAAAACCGTGGTCGATCTTCTCGTCTGACTTATGAAGTTTGAGCTGGTAGTCCTCTGGGGGACCCATTTTGTGGATAACAATGTCCTTGTTGTCGTCGTTTGGCGAGATGCGTAAATCTGGGTTGGATTTTTGGCTGGGATTTCGTATAACGACACCGCTATCGTCGCTACTGTGCGATGGTGATGCGCGATGCGAACCGTCCTGTATATCAGCGGTAGGAATACAAATCTCATCGCAGTGTTTCGCATCGTAGTCGGATTCACGTTTAAGCTTTTGATGCCGTTTAACAGCCAATATACCAACGATTATTCCAACTATGACGAACAATAAGAACAATAACCCTGCAATGATACCAATACTGAATGGGCTATCTTGATGACGTTTGCCTGAAGTAACGCAAGGAACRCCGTGACACAGTCCACAGATTTCACCCGAGTAGTTTGCGTGACACAGACATTTGAAGGAGCCATCTTTACTAGGGATACATGWGCCATTGTTAGTACACGGGTTAGGTGTACACGGTGCGTTACTAACACACTCATAACCGTACCAATCCTCTATACACGCGGGCTGCTCAGAGTTAGCAACGCAGGGGTTTGACTGACATGCGCCGTTCTTGACACCACACCCTTCTATGACACTCCCCCCTTGTGATTTCGAAGTCACGTATCCATTAGCGCCATTGAGGGGGATGTTGACTCCGTTGATCTTCAGTCGTTCCATACACCCATTAAAATTTGTTATTTCAAGTCCTTGAGGAGGTTGTGACACGCCACCTAGAGCCCACGTGCGTACTCCCGCACCAAGAAACCGATGAGGATCTTGCGTAAACGTTTTCTGTTTGTCTTCGTTGTCTACCGTTAGAGTTACGGTTTTCCCCACACGTCGTAATGATACGTTGTGCCATGTCCCGTCAACGAAAGAGGAGCTGTAGATGGTTATGTTGCCCTTGGTACTCGATGATTTGAACTCGTAATGTACGCTTTTTGAGTTTACCTGTAAACAAGAGAGAACGTCGTTAGAATGCAAAATGGCGGCTATGACGTAACGTATCTGACTCCAAAACGTAAGTAAGCTTTACATAAACTCAAATCAAAGAATCTTGCACTAGAGATGAAAGACTGCTGTACCTGAATCAATGTGTAATCTGAAGTATCATCCTGCGCTAACAGTACCAGGCCTCCTTTTAGAGTACGGAAACTGATACCAAACGACTCGTCGCTCGAGCTGACGGAGCGGCGTTTTCGTACAGCCGCATTTTTGCTCTCAAGTAACTTTTGTTGACGTCGATAGCTTTCTTTGAACTGCAAAACCAACGAACTGGACGCACTGAATCGCACTGCACTTGGTTGAGCTGTGATAACAATGAATGCAACTTAGTATATKWTAGGAAKCSCTGTTGTTGTTGTTGTTGCTGCTGTTGTTGTTGTTATACATGATGCAAACATTAYCAGTGAAACTTACGTTATACAATCTAATACAACATATTTATTACGCATTACGAAAGAATCGCACCTTTTTCACAGTTGCTTCCAGAGTAGCCATCATCGCATTCACAGAAGTAACCAAACCAAGTATCTTTACATTTKCCCTTRTTCTTACACGGGTTGTTGGTACAGAAGTCATTATGAGGACAATGATCTAATGCACCTGATGATCCAATAGCGTCTTTATACAACAGCTGATCGCCATTGATGAAGAAATCGCGAATACAGCCAACAAAGTCATACACTTGGACATGTTTTCGCTTATCACTGAATGCTTGGTCGAAGTCCTGCACGCCACCAACGTAAAGTGGTGAACTTTTGAGCTCGAGTTGTCTGAGAAAGGGAAATAAAAAGAATGAGGATGGGAAGACATATGAAAGAGAAAAATCTGAAGTAAAAATTCTTATGAAAAGCACCGATGAACTCAGACGAAATGCAAACAAAGGACAATGCTATTTAGGTGTTCTGTTACCGGGAACGAAGAAATCAAAACCAAACAGACTTTGCAGGTAAGACTGACAGTGATACGATAATGATGACTCGATACTTACGTAAATTGACCAGCCACTGATCCACTGCTTTTGAAGTTATAATCAACGACAACTTGGGCGTTCTGAAAAACCACAAGAAATCATTAACACKACTGCGTAATGGAACATTGGGCACAAAAACGAAGTTAAAGGACTACTAAATTAGCTATTTTTCAGAGGAAAGTAAAAATTGTTTATAAAGCAGTATACCATTGAAAATATTTTGTCATTATATATATCATGAACATTCAGTGTGAAAGTCAGGAGATATCGCAGACTAACTTATAKAGAATCGCCTCATTTGCTTCTATGTGGGCTTCCTGTGTTACTTACAGAAGGGAGTCCATAGCCGATCAAACTAGCAATAAGGGACCCAAAAAAGACAACTTACCACTTTATTTCTGATGACAGTSACGTGGTGCCATTGTCCATCATTAACGCGTCGGTCGACCAGTATTACTGCAGCATTYTTGGTGTATCCAAGATTATACGAGAATCTAACCTTCCCTTGTACTATTTCTAACGCTATAAAATCTCCATCTTCTTCAGCTGTACCATCGTTGTTATATAACAACAACCCGTCTGACAAAGACGTGGCAAACGATAAAGTAATGTTGTTGTAAGATTCTTGGTTACTGCTACGTATTGTCTTGAACTTCATAAATGACACCACACCAAAACCAAGACTGGAAAACTGACAGCGGTCACCACGCCCACCAAAATCACAAGTGCACWTGAACGATGTAGGTTTGGCTACGCAGGTCGAATTGTACATACAAGGGGACCCCTGACAGTAGTCGATTTGGTATCCACAGTTTTTGCCTGAGTATCCTGCTTTACATTGACAGGTGTAACTGCCTGCTGTATTTTGGCASCCTGTCGAGTGTTTACAAGGGTTGGAGACRCATTCGTCGATGTCAGTTTGACACAGTTTCCCGTTGAAGCCATTGGGACAAGTACATTTGAAAGAGGACCCGTCCTCTTGGCACGTTCCGCCATTAGTGCAAGGGTTAGTGTCACAGTTGTTTATTTTCACTTCACATTTACTTCCTGTGAACCCGGGTTTACACCTAAAAATGCACACAAAATGGTGAATGATTTTGATAATAAAATGCACACAAAATTTCGTTATTCTGTTGAATATCTCAAAAGAACGGAAAACGAGGATCTGGGGGAACAAAGAAAATATCTATTGTGTCCCCTGAGAGCCTTCAATTCTTTTGAACGTGGTTAATAAACCAAAATATCGAAAGTGTAATTGCTCAACCACCATGCACTATCACTATCACCACAATTACAAATATCGTACTCAATAGACCTTTTCTGAAATCTGAAGTCATAGTGCATTGTGGTCTAGCTTCAGCACAAACAACACCATATTTGGCAGCATGGACAATTAAAGAKGTTTGTACTGAATCTAGACCACAATGCAATGCAAACTGCTATCTCAAAAATGGCCARTGGTATGTGCGATTTCATAGAAGTAGCGCTGGTAATGACGACAAATAATCTGAAGCTTACGTCATGTACCGTATACGCAATGCATTGTAGGATAGGGCTTCTTTTGTTTTCTCTAGAAACGGATCCCACAATGCATTGCAAATCAAGTAGTCAGACGTAAAAGCTTCAGAGATCTACAGCATACGCCATACCTGCATGAATATCTCCAGTTAAAATCMGCTGACACAAAGACTACAGGTACTGTATTAACAACAAAAGTGTTTCCTGTGGCCCCTATATCACTGCTACATTCAGCACCATTCTTACAAGGACTGCTGTTGATACAAGGACTGTAGTCCACGCGATMAATATCCACTTTTCCTTCAGACTCCACTTGGTTTTCTTTAATCTTCAGCAATTCTGATARCTTGTCTTTTCCAAGGTATGTGAATGTATTAGRCTTTCGCGCCGCTATAAGGACATCGACGAAGCCCCGRTCAAATCCTTTGATGCTGATAATTTGGATTGATGAGAATTCATTCGGYAGAATCCTTARRACTGCCTGAGTGAAACTATAGTAAGATGAAGTTAGAAATTCCCTGGGCGTGGTCTTCTGTAGGCGTAACGCAACACTGTTCTTCACTGTGTCACTAGTGTAACCACAGAACGTGACCGTCACGTTGTAACGCACGGCACCAACACCATCAGAACCATTGATCTTCAACATACACAAACTGTCTCCAGTTTTGGCCAAAGAACGCAGCATGCAGTCACCTCGCGGGAAACTAAACATGTCACAGGAAGATTTAATTATGCGACAGGCCATAGCGTCATCAACATCGGCATCSTCGGGACGTACATCCGCCACGGAACCACCGGGGAAACGTTTATCGTATGTGTTCACCATGACAGCACGGGGTGTTGCCTTGGGCCTGTTGTCGTTTTGATCTTTGACGGTGACGAGGCAGTACGAGATGGCAGACAAGCCGCCATTATCCATCACACGAATGGACAGATTGTAACTGGCTTGCTTTTCGCGGTCTAGTATGGCGGTTGTTTGTARCAATCCTGTATTTTTATTCAAATCAAACTTGCCGTAGTTGGTACCCGATATCTGGAACGTAAAAGGTCCTCTGTGAGGATCAATGTCTTTGTCTGTAGCTCGTAACGTTACGACTGTCGTACCACTAGGTTGGTTTTCAAGTACCGACGCAACGCGATCAGCATCGACAAGAGTTGGTGGGTTATCATTAACGTCACGTAGCGTTACTGTTACCGTTGCGTTACCAGTCATGGGAGGRGAACCATTGTCCGTGGCCGTGACTATAAGGTTGTAGACTGGTATCAATTCTCGGTCCAGTGCTCCTGMAGTTGTAATGACGCCCGTTCGCTGRTTGATGGAGAAGGCTTGGTGTGTATTGCCTGCCCCTATACCATAACGTATRGGYATYCCCTTAGCGGATCGCTCTTTGTCGTCATCAACAGCAGTCACGTTTGTCACGTAAGTACCACTYTTAGCTCCTTCGATCGTACTAGCAGTATAAACACTCTGAAGGAATCTTGGAGCATCGTTAGCATCTGTCACTTCCACGATAATAGTTGCGTGACCAATAGAGCTTGGCGTCACGTCAGTCTGGAATAAATTCTTAGCAATGACTTTCAGCGTGACATTTCCATGTACTTCGCTGTCTAGATTTCCTGAGATAGTTAAGACTCCAGTTTCTGTATTCAGAGCAAAACCCTTGTGATTGTCAGCCCCGACGAGATGATACACCACGATCCCATCGACCCCTGCATCYTTATCAGTGGCTGAAACTYTCAASACKGTGTGACCAATSGGCGCATTTTCAGCCACTGTTCCTTTGAAGGTATCACTTGTAAATACTGGAACAAACTCGTTTTTACCTGTTATGGTAATAAAAACATCAGCTCGTGGATCGGCAAACCTTTGTGGTTGCAAACCGAGATCTTTGGCGCCTACAACGAGGACTGTCTTCGGCGTCTTTTCGAAGTCAAACTCTGCAGTGGCCTTKATTTCTCCGGTGACTGGATCAATGGAGAATTTTGCTGCGTCGCTTCCACTTGCAATATAGTACCTGGAAGATGATAGGTGTATGTTAATTCTAAAGTAAATATGAGTGGATTGGATAGTAGAGCAGCTCTCTATTGTTTTGTTTGTTCGTTTTTTCTGTGTTTTTTTTTTTCGTTTTGTTTTGTCGTATTTTTTTGTTTGTTATCATTATCATTATCAGTTATCATTATGAAAATGAACTTATATTGTATGAATAAATGAATATTTGTAACAAATGAATGAACAAATGAATGCACGAAAGAGATGAATGAATGAAAAACATCAACTGGAAGAGATCGCCCGTACATCAGCATTAAGAGGAAAAGAGTGTTTATCAGTTACTGATCATTATCATTATCATCAGTATTATCATCAACAATACCTGACATCCTGTTTACCCAGTTTATCCTTATCCGTGGCATGCACTGYGCAAATAACTTTAGATCGAGGTGGCGTATTCTCTGCCAATTTACAGGAATASGACGAAGGCTCAAATACAGGATTATTGTCATTGACGTCTAACAAGGTTATTTCTGCAGGAACAGAGCTTCTTTTGGAGGGTACACCACCATCTGTAGCCACTATATTCAAGACATACTTAGTTTGGAATTCATAGTCCAAGTGTTTTGCTATATAGATAGACCCATTAGAAACACCAATACCGAAGTACCCTCGATCGTTCCCTGACGTAACACTGTACGATATTTCTCCATTTTTGCCGTTATCATCATCGCTGGCGACGACTGTGACGATAGCGCTTCCGACAGGTAAGTCTTCGGAAGCAGTCTTRCGATAGACAGAAAGAGAAAACCTTGGCTTGTACAGATTCTTAGGCGTGACATCGACACACACTTGTGCAGCAGCTTCCTTACTTGGGCTTCCCAAGTCTTTTGCTTTGACTTTGATACAATAAACTTTGTTAGCATCGCCGGTTAGGTCACCCTTTACTCTTACTTCGCCGTTTTCGGTAACCACTCGRAATTTTGTTGATCCATTACCCGACGAAACTTCGTATCGAATTTCGGCATTCGGGCCATAATCGTAAGTGTCTTCGGCATGAACGATTCCGATACGAGCACCRTTACTTGAATCCACCACTGCAATGAACCTGTAGTTGGCCTGTTTAAAGACTGGGGCGTGGTCATTGGTGTCTAACACTTCAATCTCAACATGTGTGTCGCCTTTAAGATAGGGTGGGTAAACATTTTGCGCTCTCACCGTYAGATTGTACATATTGGAGCTACCTCGATGGAATTTTACAGCTTTGTGRATAGTTATCAGACCAAGCTTTTTATCGATGGAGAAGTGGCTGATAGGTTGCTTGGAAACAATGGAGTAAACAATAACAGAGTTCAGKCCATCGTCTGCATCCGTCGCCGTCACGTTCAAGACTGCAAAGCCGACTGGTGAACTYTCTGGGATTTGTGTAGCGTACGGTCTAACTGGGAACCTTGGAGCGTTATCGTTGACATCCAACACTGTGATGTTCAGAGATGAATTTGYAACGTGTTTACCRTCRCTTACTGAGACAACCAGAGTGTACGTGCTACGATCTTCACGATCTAGAGACTTAGCAGTAGAGATAGTCCCGTTATTAGAATCAACAACAAATARTCCACGTATATTAGCGCTGTCTTGGATGTGGTAGCGAAGTGATGAATCCACAATAGAATCGGCATCGCTTGCTTTAAGGACAGTAACAACGGTTCCTACAGGYGCATTTTCTGGTACGTGARCGTCCCTAAGACCGCTGACAAACACTGGTGGGTTATCGTTGACATCAGTAACAGTCACCATGACAGCAGCTTCACTGGTCATTGACGCATTACCGGCATTCTGTGCGGTTACCTTTAGAGAATAAAACGACGTCTTCTCGCGGTCTAGGATTTGGTTTGTGAAGATTTCCCCTGAAGAAGAAATCCTGAATGGAGACGAACCGCCGCTGGATAGAATGATTGAATATTCAATACGGGCATTAGAGCCTGAGTCAGCGTCTACAGCATTAACGGTGACAACGGAGGAGTTGGCTGGTAGTCCCTCTTTGATACTRGCRTGATAAGCATATTGATTAAACACTGGCRGGTTGTCATTTTCATCTATTAGGACCACATGGAGGGTAGTAAAACCAACATGGGGCGGAGTACTRCCATCTTTTGCTCCTATTACTATACTGTAGTTCTTGTTTTTCTCATAATCAAGAGACTTTGTGACTTTCACAGTWCCAAACACTGCGTCCACATCAAATTCGTCTTGGTCATCACCACCTGCGATGAAGTAYGTTGTGTGTCCCGTTGCGTTCACGGTTATCAGCGTCGTTCCTTTGGCTGTCAWCTCCGAGATGAACAGAGTCTGGTCAGGRTGGAGGAAGCTTGGAAACGAGCTGCTGCTGACGTATAGTTTAACAGTTGTCKTAGCAACCCGCTTAGGTGCGTTCTGATTGGTTGCTTTGATCTGTAAGGTGTATRTTGTAGGCGATGCAGGAACTGTCTTGGAAAMATAGATCACGCCGCTTTGCTCGTCCAATTTGAAAATACCATCGTTATTACCGCTGACAATTGTGTASTCAGACTTGGCATTRATTCCCGTGTCTTGATCAGAAGCAGCAACAACTGCAACTATCGARCCTACAGCTGCATTCTTCTGTACGGTAGCTTTAATCAATGAATTCTCGAACACTGGATCGTGATCATTCGTATCATCGACTATGACGTTCAYAGTAGCCTTGCCCTGGAGAGGGGGATTCCCTGCATCGGTAGCTAGAACTTCTAAGGCATGGAAAGCAATTTGTTCTTTGTCTAATATTTTATCCGTCTCGATGCGACCTGTTTTGGGATTAATTCGAAAGCGTGCATAATTGTTAACTAGAGAGTACGTCAGATCAGCGTTGGWTCCAGAATCTTGATCTAAGGCTGTTACTTGAATCACAAAGGTTCCAACTGCAGCTCCTTCTGGTACTTTTGCCTTTAGGGTATTAGGCTGGAACACTGGTRGATTGTCGTTCTTATCAAGTACTTTTATAACCACATGGCATTTTCCAGACAGGCTCGGGGAACCGCTGTCGTTAGCTTGGACYGTGAGCTTGTAKGTGTCCTTCWSTTCGCGGTCTAGTTTAGATGTTAGTCCTATAGCTCCCGTGCGTGAGTTAATAACAAATATCCCACCKACGTCACCATCGATTATACTATACGCRATATCTCCATTTTGCCCTTGATCCTTGTCTTGCGCCAGTACSGTTACTATRTTGGAATCAATGACGTCTTCCTGGACATCGACCATATAAGTATCTTTACTAAACTTAGGCTTATCATCGTTGATGTCACGCAACAGAACCGTTATGGTAGTAACGCTCACTTTCCTAGGCACTCCAAGRTCATAAGCTCGGATTTCTAGAGTGTATTTGGGCACTTTTTCTCTGTCTAGCGTTTTCACTGTTCGTAGTCTACCTRTGATGGAGTTGATAGTGAATGATCCGTCATCATCACCTGTCACGATCTCGTAACGCACTTCGGCATTTGTACCGTCATCATCATCAACCGCTGACAGCGTAAGAATGTCTGTTCCAACTGTCACGTTCTCGTAGATACTAACATTACTCGGGTGTTGGAGAAAGACTGGCGCATGGTCATTGAAATCATCGATCACAACCACTATCTTCATGTCGGATGAAAGCTTTGGGCTCCCTRTGTCCGCTGCTGTTACTTTCAGGGTGTAGTTTTGTTTGGTTTCTCGGTCCAGACCTCCAGAGACACGCAGTACGCCGTTGKTTTTCCCAAGTGCGAACGGWGCTCCAAGATCAATCTTGGTGAGTGTGTATGACAGTTGACTATTAGAACCTTGATCCAGGTCTACAGCTATCACAGTTAAAACTACATCACCAACCTACCAAACAATCATACAATCAATCATAATAATTCATCCAATCAATAGGTTATAAAGGTTTATACAACTTTTCAGTAAAATCAGACGTTTTGATTGGTTGGCTTTCGTGTGTTATCATAGTATAGATACACGGATTACGTCAAAACTAATTGTTTGTTGTATAAAACAGATAGATCTCATTTTTCCGTCTGTGTGTGTACTCTAATAGATACACAGATGACGTCAAAATGTAGTGAGAACAACAGCCACGCACTCGACTGCGTCTCGTGCGTACTTTTTTGTTCTCACTACATTTTGACGTCATCTGTGTATCTATTAGAGTACACACACACGGAAAAATGAGATCTATTTGTTAAATATTGTACATCCTTCAGTGAAAATGAGAAAAGTGAGAACTTTACTATAATAATATGCATAAGCTTGAATACTGAATCTATGGCATGACTAGAAACTTTTGAAATTTTATTTGATTGAGGAGACAAAAACGCTACAAAGGGCATCAGAGTGAAATTTCCCATGGTCTCAGATCAAGCATTTTAAAATACATTATAAGTCCTGGTGCGTTTTCGTACTGTTTTTGTATTGCCCTTTGTTCCTTGGGGAATAAAAATAAAATTTGAAGCAAAACTCTGCAAAAACGCATCAGTGGTCCTAAGATAATAAACTTTAATTTGAAAGGCATTGCATGAATTACACAGTTATTTTAGCCTGCGTATCAGCCTACAGGGATCYCAAGAAGGCTACAATTATTCATATTCTATATACATGTACAGTATATTAATTAAGGATAAAGTCATTCATTCACAAACCAAATACAAAGCACCCTCGTTCCAGAGTTCTTCTTCTCTTTTCTGTAGAAATTTGGCTTTTACTTTTACAGTTTTACGACTGAGCAGCAATGTAAAAACAAAAAMCAAATTTCGACTAAAATGCAGAAAAACGTTTAGAAAAGAAGAAAAACCTCGACTGGAACCAGAGCAAATACAAAGTGGAACTATAGCCAAATAAGGTTTCTTCTTGGCAAATAAAATGTTTTCATACCTTTGCGCTCTCAGACASATGAGCAATGGACGCTGAGGTGAAATAAGGCTTATTATCGTTTATGTCAGTCACGTTGATGGACACACGTGTCGTGGTGTGACGCTGAGATGACAAGGGMGTGGCTTCATCACTGGCTTGCACTGTTAACAAGTAGCCATCTTGTTTCTAGTAAGAAATAATCGTTCAAGGAGAAGCTCTTAATTTATACCAATCACAGAAGATCAAACATAAGAGCTACTAGATAAACATTTCCTTATAGTAACTTGCTATAATAAAAAAAATCTGATTATTAGAATTTTAACATGGGATGGTTTCCCAGTATGCTGTAGGGCTTAGCTTTATTCCCAGACCAAGGTTATAATTGTACATTGTTTTTGTACAGTTTGCTTTAGGAAACAAAATAGGTAGTCTTATACTACCTAAGAGAATCCCATCTCATGCAAACTAACCTCAATAGGAGATATAATAATATAATAAAGACAAATTAAGAAGATCACAGCAGATAAACTCTCAATTTTGATAACCTTCTTGCATAAGGTGAAAATGTACTGTAMATTAATAATTATGTTCACAAATTGACTAAGACAAATGTTTAAGCAATCTTTTGCATAAGATATTAATTGACCATCTTTTGATTGTGAATTAATTCTCTAATGGATACTAGTAGTTATAATTTCAACAGGACATTATTGCAATAGAGAACAASGTAAATGTAAAAATTGAATATCGCAGCACATAAGAAGAGTTCAAGTTACCTCTCTGTCCAAAACCTTGAGGTTGACAATAGTTCCATTCTTGAGTATTCCAAACGAGTGGTCGCTGTTTCCTGATATAATGCTGTAGTTAATAAGACCATTGCTCCCAGCATCATGATCAACAGCSGACACAGTAACAATRTGTGTGAAAGTSCTTTCTCCTTCTGTGATATCTCCATGGTAACTTCGTTGTTTAAACTCTGGTGAATTATCATTGATATCAACAACTGTCACATAAACACTGACAGATGACGAGTGTTGGATAAGCTTTCCATTGTCCTTAGCTGTGATGTTAAGGATATAGTGCTCCACAGTCTCTCTATCAAGTCTTTGACTAATAGTTARTACACCAGTTGATGGGTTAAGATCAAAGATGACTTTGTCTGCTCCTAGAATACTGTATGTCAATTTTGCATTCTCRCCAGCATCAATATCAGTAGCTTGAACAGTTCCTACAGTTGTTCCTATAAGAGCATCTTCTGATATTTTAAACGAGTAATAACTCCTGGTAAACAATGGTGCATTGTCGTTAACATCGTCAACTTTTACTGTGACTAGACATGACGAAGAATGACTRGGTCTGCCATGATCACGTGCAGTTACATTGATCGTATAGGTGGAGACTGCCTCCCGATTGAAACGTTGAAGGCTGGTCACTCTACCACTTTGACTGTCAAYCACAAACATGTTTCTATGGTTACCTCCTGTGATAGAGTAGGTTATATTAGCATTTTCTCCCTCGTCACTGTCTTTAGCWGTTAAAGTAATKACGCTGCTTCCTAAGGGTGCGTCTTCAGCTATGCTTATGGTAAAGTGATTACTTGAGAACTCTGGTATGTTGTCATTGACATCTCTCACTTTRATGATGACATTTGTTGATGATGTTCTTGGATTTGGACCCTGCATGTCAACAGCATAGACTACCAGCTTTAACATGGTGCCAAGGCTCTCGCGGTCAATGTGTTGCTTAGTAACAATGTCACCAGTAACTTCATTGACTCTTAAAGCCCCCTTACTATCATCCGAAGTCAGGTAATACTTAATGTTGGATTTTGATTGGCTGTTCGTATAATATGCATTAACACGAAGGATAGTTGACCCTGGGCCTTTGTTTTCTGTGATGGAACCATAAAATGTGGAATTAGTAAACACAGGACCACTGCCTCCAGTCTTGAATAGCGTAATCTCTGTCTGGTCAGCCAGAGGAGGGCTCCCACCATCTTGAGCTTTGACTAARCGTTTGTAGGACAACTTGTTATCACTTAACGGAGCTATCTTGTCAAGCTGYCCATTGTTTTTATTCAATATGAACAAGTTGTTTGGATCACTGTTTATAAAGTTGTAAGTRACATAACCAAAAGYACCCTCATCATGGTCCACAGCTTTGACATTCATTACAAATGAACTAGTTCCGACCCGTGCCGCTGGAGGTGATACAAACCGTGGTCTGTTATCATTTACATCTTGTATCAGGATAATAATCTCTTTGGTCGCAGACATGGCTCGTGATGCAGGYGTGGCCTTGTCAGTTGCCTTGACAACCAACTGATAATAGTTCCTGGACATTTTYTCTCTGTCAATGTTAGCAATTACTGTTATTGTGCASGTTTTTGGATCTACAGAGAAAATGCTCCCCTTTGGTACCAGCCTTTCTAGTGAATATACAACCTGACCATACACACCACTGTCTTTGTCAGTAGCGAAACAACGTCCAATAACTGTTCCAATGGTTGCGTTCTCAAGAATCTGGAGCTTTTGAGGTGATGGTGAAAATACAGGAGCATTATCATTAGCATCAACAATATTTACAGTCAAATTAGCTGACGACCACAGAGATGGAGTACCTCGATCCTGAGCCATGAAACATAGATGGTAYTGCTTTGTGGTTTCATAATCAAGATKTTTACTAACAAAAACTCTTCCTGTTGAATGGTTTATRTCAAAGACAGCTTCAAGATTTCCGCAAGTAATTGAGTACAGTATTTGTCCATTTTGTCCAATGTCCTTATCGGTAGCATTCAGGTTAATAATTTCTGATCCAACAGGAAGCAACTCAGATACACTAACTGTACTTCTGAAACTCTCAAACACAGGTTTTTCATCATTATAATCTTCAACAGTGATTTGAACTACTGACTGAGAGTACAGCGTGCTGTTGAGAATATCTGTTGCTTGTAATGTTAGATTATAACTGTCTACAGTTTCACGGTCAAGTGCTTTGTCCAGATATAAGTCACCAGTTGTCTTGTCAATGTGGAASACATCTTTACCAGTTCCYTTGATGATTGAATAAGTAAAATTAGCATTCAAACTGCTATCAGGATCAACAGCTGTAACTTTATAAACCACTGAGACAGGAACAAGCTTCTCATTGACTTTGACATTATACAAAGAACTGCTAAAAAGAGGTGGATTATCRTTGACGTCACCAACAGTTACTATGACGATAGCGCTATCACGTCGGAGAGTTGTATCATTGTATACTGCTTCAGCACGCATGATGTAATCATTATCACCAGTCTCTTTCATAAGTGCTTCCCTGTCTAACAAAATCCTTGTTGTAATGTGTCCACTTTTTGCATCAATAGCAAATACACCGTSATTACCAACTAGAGAATAAATAATGTCTTTAGTTTTGGTGTTATCTGGTGCACGTGCTGTAACAGTTCCCACTGATGAGCCTGGAGGAAGATTTTCAATTATCACAAACCTGAATGTGTTATTAGTGAACAATGTCCTGTGTTCATCTGTGTCTTGGATATAAATCGTTACTTTAACGGATGCACTAAGTGGAGGTGTTCCACCATCAGTAGCTCTCACAACAATATCATAGGATCCTTTTGTAGCATAAATCAAGTTCTTCTTGATGTACAACATGCCATCTGGAAAGATACCAAACAAACCATCCTGATTTCCAAGTTTGTCGATACTGTAGCTTATTTCTCCATTTTTTCCACTGTCTCTATCAATAGCAGTTACAATCAGGAATCGATGGGTGAGAGACCAAGAAGCCAGRGCATGTATAACATGAGAGTTTGATCTRAACTTTGGTGGATGATTTATCAATATATTTGCTTGTATCGTCATCGTGCTGTGTAAYGGTGGAGATCCCAAATCTGATGCCATCACTTGAACAGTATACTGTGAGCTGTCGCTCTCAGATGGTTGTCGAGCTAGMGTCACAACACCAGATGTAGAATTGATTTTAAACAGGCCATTTGCATTATTRGTGAGCTGGTATCGAATCATTCCATTACTTCCCGCATCACCATCTTTAGCTGAKACATCTGAAATAAGTTTACCTGCCAGCCATGATCCTAAGATRTTGACATGCACGTGGGAAGTTGTGAACTCAGGAGTGTTGTCATTTCTATCAAGTACAGATATGTTAACAGATGTYTTAGCAGACAAYGGTCGAGCAAATCCTGTTTTRGCGATGACTTCCAACCAGAATTCAGTTTTAAGTTCTCTGTCAATGATCCCATTCACCATAATAATACCACCTGATGAATCAACAATAAATAAATGTCCAGGGTCCCCWGAGATGATTTCATACATTATACTGTCATTCTTATCTTTGGTCTTAGCAAACACTTTCCCGACAAGGGTCCTCTTGGGAGCATTCTCGTATACTGAAAAGTTGTAAATCGCATGATCAAAATATGGTGGATTGTCTGCTTGGTTGATAACTGTCACTTCGACAATCGCAGGCTTTAATGCAACATTGCCACCTCCATCTCTAGCTGATATTTCTAGTTTGTGAAAGCCATTAGCTTCGTGGTCTAGGGATTTCACAGTTCTGATTTCTCCAGTGTCAACATTGATWGCAAAACTATTATTAGAGTTTCCACTTTTGATTGAATAAACAACCWTTGCATTCACTCCAKCATCCTTGTCAGTWGCAGTGACTTTTACTAAGGGTCCAGGTTTTTCATTYTCAATGACACTTACAAAATACCCCTCAGGGTAGAATATKGGMTTGTTATCATTTATATCAGTAACTGTSACRACAACSGTAGCTTTGGATGACAGTTTTGGCTTTCCATTGTCAGTAGCAATGACRGGGATATTGTACAAACTTTTGACCTCACGATCCACACTTGCTTTCAATTTCAAAACTCCACTTGATGGCTCCAAAATAAAATGCTTAAGAAGATCTTGTGATGCAGAATCAATGGCAAAGCTAATTTTAGCATTGTCACCAACATCATCATCAGATGCTGATAGTGTTGTAATAATCCTGTCYTTTGTTGCATCCTCTGGTATAGATTCATTGTAAACACTTTTGGAAAATTTTGGAATATTATCATTTGCATCCAGCAATGTGATTTTTAAAGTTGTTGTTGCAGTTTTAGGAATACTTCCATGGTCTTGAGCAGTAATTGTGAGTGAAACKGAAGACACTGCTTCTCTGTCCATTGTTGTAACAGTGGTAACCAAGCCTGATTGACTATCAATCTGAAACCAACCACGATCATTTCCATTAGTAATAGAATAAGAAATTGTCCCATTTTGGCCAGCATCAGGATCAGTTGCATTCATTTTTAATACAAAACTTCCATTTGGCGCAAGTTCATTGATTGATGCAGTATACAAGTTWCTGTAAAATTTTGGCGAGTTGTCATTCACATCTAGAACTTCAATAATTGCAAATGCTAAAGTACTTTTMCTGGGATATCCTTGGTCAGTTGCATTTAAAGTCAAGTTAAAGKTAGATGAAACTTCACGGTCCAGAGTTTTGCCTACTCGCAGCAAATAGGCACCAGGTAGAGTTTGATGTTTTTGCACAAGGAAGTATCCATGTTCATTTCCTTTGCTTATCTCAAGATTTATGTCATTATTAGGTGAAGATCCGTCATTGTCACTAACTATCATGAATGCTAAGATAGTCAACAATGTGCAGTCTTCTGAAACTACAGCTTTGGCTAGATTAGGATTAGGGTAGTACAGAAATCTAGCAAACTTTGGGGCATTGTCATTCCTATCTGTTACACTAATGACCACAGTTGCAGTCGATGTCTCTCTTGGTTGGCCTTTATCGCTRGCAACRACAGTAAACTTGTAMGATTTTTTTATTTCAAAGTCAAGGCTTCCTTTSGAACTGATCACTCCAGTATTCGAATCTATATCGAAGATCTCATCTGATTTCTCTGCATCCTTTTCGATCGAGTATTCGATTTCACTATTGGACCCACTATCTTTGTCCGTCGCTCTAACAGTTAAAATGCTCTTGCCACGTTTAGTATTTTCCGCGATCGAGCCTTTAAAAATATCAGATGTAAATACTGGTCGGTTGTCATTAGCATCGAGTATTGTTATGTTCACTAAACAATAGCCAGTCAGAGACGGCATTCCACGATCACTTGCCGATATTTTCAACTCGTAAGAATCTGTTTTTTCTCGATCAAGAGTGTTGTTAATAATAATACAGAGTTCAGCTTTTCCTTGGCAATTATTAGAACCAATTCCCAGCCTGAATTTCCCGTCGATATTACCTTTAASAATAGTATAATCAACTGTGCCATTGTAGCCGTAGTCACTATCAGTTGCCGTGTTGATGGGATAAACGACCCCTGCCGATGTTGTTTCGGTGACTTGAAGAGTTGATAAAAGCGATGGGAATTTCGGTGCATTGTCGTTAATATCTTTAACAAGGATATTAACTTTTGGTGGCTGGATATTKGGGTTTGWTGAACGTACATTTARAGGAATTGGATTAACTGTTAAGATATCTCTGTCGATTCTCGCAGTCGATTTTATAACGCCGGAGTCGATTGTAAAAGCCGCATTACCGTCAAATGAACAACTATGACCCACACATTCGGTGATTTTGCCCACGATTGTCCCAGAAGGTTGTTCTTCTARTATCGAGAACGATAAATCAGCTCCAGTAAGGCTTGTAAAACATAATAATAGCCAACAAACAAGCATAACTGAAGTGACCCATCGCGAACTAGACCGTATCCTCGCGATAGGTTTCCCTGTCCAAATTTGCCTATCCATGACTTAAAACTCTAATTTCTTTCTCATCGTGTTTAGTAGTCATGTTGGCCAAATGAAATTGAAGAATCCTTTCCTGGACATATCCATTACCAAAGAATAACCGTTAGAGCGTTGAAGAGCGAGTCGAATCACATTGTGCATAGAATTTTCCCCAAAWGAACAGCAAAATATTCTTGTATCTTGAGAGCTAACCAACAGAATAATTTCTTCGGTTATARTCCTGTGATTAAAATAAGAATGAAGATCAAATTAACGAGAATTCTTACTGCATCTTCTTTTACAACGACGTTCTGATTTTTTTATGCAAAGCTGGCTCGAGTAAAGTATACGGTAAAGGAGCCCGCTGGCAARTCAGATGTCAATCATCGTCCTTAATCCCCGAGGGAGGGGTTAGTTTTGATCACGTGTCTATCGGATACAAAGGCTCATAACAGTTTGATTTGTTCCTACAAAATTAAATCGTTGAATACCATTATAAATTGAGTGAATTCATTGGAAATATATTAATCTTAAAGCACATGAAATATTCATTAGACWGCAAAACCAACTCGCTTGTTAAATGCCGTCTTCCGCCTGCGAGGGAGGCCAGGACTTTTAGAMARTTTTCTTTTCATGGGCGTGAAGCTGTCAACGAATTAACTTATCAACAAAGTAGACACTGTGAGCTCATTGACGTACAGCACTTCCAGATCAAGAATAGACGTACCACAAAGTAAACACAAATGCACTTTTATAAACTTTGCAAAGATAATATTAGATTGAAAGGTCTTTCTCTTTGTATGTTTTTTTTTTCTGCGAAGCTTTCGTTACAAAGGGGCAAAGGCCAGCGCTTAACTTGATATGAGCACCAATGGAACTAAGCTCARCTGGTACAATAAACAATCAACGAATCACCGTGAGGCATTTTAGTCCAAAGTTTAAATCAACTAAAATATCGCTGATAGATTGACATTCACTGTGTATATTTTACTAAAAAACAAGGTTTCCAAATCATTTTGGTGTGAGCGACTGCACGTTTTCATAAGCCTGGACTGTTCTTGTCGTTATGAAAGCATTATGCGAACGGCCGCTGATGGGATTTTAATGAATTTGTTAAACGATTCTCAGTGTTTTATTATAACTAATCCATTTTATAACCCAAGAAGTACATTCCACGTTAATCCGTATTACTGAAGGAAAGATAACAGAGACTAAAATTGCACTAAAAACCGGAAAATTATCGCTGAACTTTTTTGTTTCACAAAGGTCAAATCTCAGTGCTTAGTCTTAAAAACCAAAGCCGATTTGTCTAAACAAATCAAAAAACTAACACACACGCAAAAAAATATTATTTTCTGGGTTTGGAGGTTTAGTTTTATTTTGAAATAATATAAATGAGGACATATGGATAAATAATCAAGTTTTCAAAAACTCGCTAAACCGATTATATTCAGTGGACAAATACTGMTTGAACATTTTTGAAAGGTTTATGTTTTTATTGAAATGTTATGGAATGAGATGAATTTAATCCTTGCATTGTTATTAAAACCGAGTTTTTCAAGTGCCTATGTTAGTATTAGGTGCTCTTCTCTGAGGTAGACACTAATCCGCCAGAGTTATTTCGAGAATGTTTCAATCATGTGACGGCTTACAGTGCAAAATGAGAAAATAATAAGTCATCGTGGCAGCGGTTGAGACTTAAAAATATCCTATTACTTCACTATTGCTTTGTGATGCCCACACGTAGAAAATTGCAATCTGAAAGACCTTTTCAGACAGAAAAATCATTTATAAGTTGAATTTTACATTTGCAAGCACTATTTATTTCTTGCAAATACGTGGGGATATGAAATTTTCTCATAGGTTTCGCGGCGGGACTTGTCCTGGTAACTCTGACCTGATATTCAGAAGTCTAAACAACATCGATAATGTTGCACCTTTCTTTGTGATCTAAGACGCAAATATCAAGTGCTATTAAAATGATTCCTTTTGTGAAACTTTTTTTTGTTAAGATGAAGTCTTTTGTTYGCGAACAGAGCGTTATACGTTATTGCGCTACGGGAGGCTGGCTTTCTCTGGATTCACTCCTTATCAGTCTCTCAACAGCCTTTTTTGTTCTCAGAACAAAAGGTTACGTTTGAAATTATTGTTATGTATTTTCACTTGTTAGGCCTAAGTGACTTCGTCTTGAAACTTCTCATGAACTTAACTTGAAAGTTTTGATTATGTAGAAACCATGGTGACACAAGGGCCTATTTCTTTTTCTTTCTCTTTATCTTCCTTTCACAACTCACTCTGACACTGAATAACATCACATTTTGCAAAAAAAAAAAAATCATAAAAAATCTAAAACTATTTTGAAAATGTCACGGGCAAAAAAAAAATAGACAAGATAATGTAATATAGAACGATCATGCTTCCGGATTACTCCCGAATCGTTTATCCCGGATTATCCAGCTAGCAATCATCCATGAAAGGTCCGAATTTTTTTCTTAGCACTTTCGAGACCCAGGTTATCACATATTTCTTTACAGAAAATATGTTTTGTGAAAGACTTCTTGTTCGAACGTCAAACTTTTCACGGTTAGATTTTGTGACCCTTGAACTGCTGACGATCAAAGGATAGAAAAAGTTAGCGAGTTTACTATCTTGTTTAAATTTATTTTTAAATCAAAATTTTTCAATCATTAGAAATAATGTTGATCACACGAGTTTTAACGATCAATAACTGGTTCTCTTTTGCAGTTACTTCATTCCCACGCGTTGTCATCGGTAATGGTTGTAGTTTTGTCTTTTGACTGACAACATAGTTACTAACTGTGTGAGATCTAAAATCAGGCCAGTTTAGATTAATGGCTGTCAAACCCCGTTAAAATACATGGAGCGTTATAGTACATATCGACAATTTAACCATATATGTATGCACTGAGATAACTTGTGTGTATTCAATCCTAACAAAATTTATTCAGACAAAATTAAACACTTCCCTTATATTGGATAATGTAGCATGAAAGACGATTATTCTCTCATGGTCATCATGTCGGTATAACAGTCATACATTAGTCTACATGCCCGTAGAAAAGTTATCTTCACTTATACACGAACAGAAAATGATAAACTTAACTATAAAAAACCTTCAAAAAGATTAAAAAAAACTGTATATATGTGTATATATTTGCATCTCCAAGTCGGTACTTGGCAATAGTTGGCTAAACAGTTGTAAAAAAATACTTCTTCTCTCAGGTCCAAGCTCTTCAGCAAGTAAGCTTTCAAAATTCGTGAGACTTCAATAGAAGCCATATAATTGTCTTTTCATTTCTTTMTTAAGTGAATAGTTTCTGATTGGTTAGATACCGCTCAACAACGAGARGATACATCAATGCACCTGCGGTCTACAGTGAATGGAAATTTGCTTCAAGAAATGATAAATATTTTGTAAAAAAACAATGGTGARCTGAACCAAATTTTTGTATACGAACAGAAACAAAATGATTTCAAAAGTGAATGCAGAAACACTTGTAAAGCAAAGTGCAGATGTAACACTATTTAAAACAACCCAAAGCATGACAGAGTTATCATACGATACCGTTTACGAATATATATATACGACAATTTTCGCTCGGCTTTTTTTATATTAAATAGAAAATTCCCAGAGAATATGGAATCAATTTTCAACTAGTTAGCTACAAATAAGTTTCTTCAAAGTTTTACAAACTTTTAAAAATGTTTACCTCAATGTCTTCACTAAGTATCAAACGGTAGGTGAGAGATTTCAGCTCAGAGTCGTAAAGAGTGTCGTCCGGCTGTGACTTGTGAAGTGAAACTCTTCTCAAGGTGAAATTATAATTTCTTTCCCGCCACTTAAGTTATTCGCTCTCTTCAGAGTCAAGTTTCCATAGCTACCTCAAAGACTTTCCGGAGGACGATCCTTAAAGAGACGCGACGCAATACTGCAGGTACTACGAAGTCATGGAGTTTGGATAAATTTGTAATTAGAACTGGTATCGTAAAGAAAGTTTTTTGTTTGGAGAATATATGGAGGAATGTCTTTCAAAGCAACGCTTTTTCCCTTGTGTGAAATTCCGCTATTATGAGATAAAGCAGGCAGAGGACATTTTAAGTGTCTTTGAGCACATGCACTAAGAATAACTTCAATACTAAATGCCATAAAATATTGATTGTATAACAATGTGAATTGGACCGACAAGTAACATTATGTTGCAACTATTGAAAATATTCCACATAGAACAACGTTATTGGATTAAATGATGGACGTTACCATGGAAATCGTAGTCACGATTCAATATGACAGTAATTGCCATATATAGTAAGTGCCTTGGAGCACCGAGATATCTATAACAGAATCTTTTCGCATCTCGTGACTTGCATTAGCCCATTTTAAGTAACCTTGACTTTAGTAAAAAAAAGTTCTTCAAATCATTTTAGACATGTGGCTTTATAGAATTTTTAGGCTCGATTTTAGGCATTTTTACATATGAACTTACATTCATTTACAAATATATCATATGAATCGTAAATCATGATGATGTCCGTTGCTGTAATAGCTTCAACGTCGGTCTTCTCGTGTGTGGAACTTCCTTGACATTATCAGTTGAGTGACATCATTTTCCTTCTCGCACAATCTGACATGTCATTAATTTTCTTAAAAAAATGCCCAGAGAACAGGAATTTATAGACTATATGCACAGCTTTGAGTATGTACGTGTTTTGAAATAGTAGTATAAGGCTTTAAAGCATAAAGTTTCGACATAAGATGGTGACCATAATTTATTACCAATCAGCTCACCTTAAAAAGTCACTAGATTTTGAGCACTCTGGACTTCATTTAAAAGACGCATTTGTGAACAAAAATATTTTCTGTAGCCAGTGTAGCCTAAAACCAAGCAATTTAGCTGTCGAATTACTGTCAGAAGTTTTTGAGCCGTGCTGCTTGGCATATACTATTTAGTAAAACATAAACCACTAAATAATGATGACCAAATCAGATCAACGATCTTTGCGTGTTAGTATATCAATACCATATGTTGCTGAATACAGTTATCCTAGCTCTCGAACAGATGTAAGTCAAAGATGGTTCGTCTCCGGCAGCGGCGGTCCTTACGACAATTCTGGCAATTCCGGTTGCGGTATCGCTCCAGTCTGTGTACAGCTGAGACCCAGGGAATAATGGCGCCGGTAACTGATGCCTAGTTTTTAGGCCAATGTCGTTTGAGAGATAAGCCCATATTTATTACAATTTGTCTAAATATAGGTTTCATGAAAATATCTTTTAGTTTCTGAAACGTATCACGTGGTATGTGTATAACGGGAAAAAATCTAAAGA